GGGGTGGCAGAGGGTCTGGCTGTGCCGGGAGGAACAGGAGGGCCACACGGGGAAGTGCCCACTCTGCATGCGTGTTTAGAGTGAGCCTCCTCCGCCCAGGTGCTGGTGGTGGCATTGGGAACTCAGTGATGAATAAGCCATCATTCGAGGTGCTGCTCCTGAGAACCTGGGCAGCCTGGGGTCAGTTGCTTAAACGCTGAGCCCCACGGATTGAGCTGTGAGAAAAACAGGCCGTGAGCGGGGTCACTGATGGGAGATAATGCCAGCCCAAGGCCTGGTACTGTCTGCCCCGTGCCAGCAGCTCATTTAAAAGCCACTGCCATCCTCATGAGGTCAACCTTCTCCAGGTGACAGGGATGCCTGCAGGAGGGGATGGGCCTGCTACGCGTGACAAGCTCCCAGGTGGTGCCCTTCCTTCACAGGAGAGGAAGCTATAAACTGGACCCTTGAACCTCAGGGTCCCTATTACTCCCCACAAATGGGTGCACATACAGCAAACCCAGGCGGTTCAAAGATAAATGTCTCCATGGCAACACCAACGCGCCCTCCTTGTCACTTCTGGGACAGTCTGGAGGCTGCTAAGTAACGTAGCACAGCGTGGGCGACCTGCCTGCCACTCACGTGAGCGGGGCTGCAGCATCCTGGGGTCCGGGCATTTACTTTATTCGGAAGCGTCTGTCCAGCAGACTGCCCTATCTGAGTCACTTCCCCATCCCCTCGGCTACGACAGAGGCAGCAGCTCCTGGCCCGAGTGGCCAGAGACTCGCCCAGTCTGGACACAGGCTCAACTTGGATAGGGGACTTCTACGGAAAATGGTTTATTTTGAGATAATTGTCGAGTCACCCGCAAAAAACAACACCCTTCGTGCAGAATTACAACACAAGGTCGCCCAGGAAGTTGACGTGGATCACCCAGTGACCTGACTCCCCTTCCCCAGCGTGACGTGCGTTGGCGTGCAGGTGCACACGTACGTGTGTGCACACATGCGCATGTGTGTTTCATTCCGTGCAGTCTTATCGGAGGACTTTTTCTAACCCCGTCGGTTCCCACGATGGTTCTGTTCCCTCAGAGCATCAAGAACTGGGACAGTGTTGCAGGAAAGCGGCCCAAAGCGCCCCTAACTCGAGGAAGGAGCCACTGCACCCTAACTCTTCCCTCCCCTGTGCTGTCGGGGCTCGCCTGCCTCCGTTCCGAGCTCTGGGACTAAAACGCACGCCTTCTGCAGACCAGCTGCTCCCTCCGCACCCAAACCAGCCATCACAGCATCCTGACCTCATGTTGGGGACACTGTATCAGCCAGTGGGAGCTGCCCGATGGCCCACACTGCAGAAGCCTGAGTGTGGGGCTGAGTTGTCACATCTGTGACAAAGGAGGCTGGCCAGCACTATCTTTTCCTGGCTCTGTTGCTGGCATCAGCTGACTTCCACTTTGCATTCTGCAGGAGACCCAGGTGCCACCAAGGGGGTGAATTCCACGGGGAGGGTGACACCCAGGGATGCACACGGGAGGGCATGTTACAAAATCAAAGATGGGGGCGCTAACATCTGCTTCAATCAACCGAACGGAGCTGGAGTCTCTCTGTGAACTGTATTAGGGGAGCCAGGCTGGTGGGGAATCTAACATGCCAGGTCCGGTGTGCTCCTCGCCTACCAGCGGGACATGGAAGGCAGAGGGCTGCAGCACACAAGCAGGACACCGGCGGGCGTCCCGGGGCGCCTCCCCCACTCACTTGCTGATGTATTCAGCGCTCAGCTGCTCCCCGCAGGTCTTGCACTTAAAACAGCCCAAATGCCAGTGTTTGTCCAAAGCCACCAGGGACTGGCCGTTTTTTATTTCTGTGCCGCAGCCCCCACAACCTGGAAAAAGATGAGAACACACGTCAGCTGCGGGCTGAGAGCCGTGGGTGCCTGTGCCACTGGGTCTCTAGGCACCACGACAGCAGTCAGGGTGGGCCCAGGGCAGCGCCTGCCTGCCCCTGCCTCGCTCTCACTCTGCCCCACGTCCACAGGCCGGTGACACGCCAGCTGGCATGGGCTCTTCTGTGGGAGCCATCTCCTCCTTCTTCAGGCAAGAAGGCTGTATTGAGCACCCACTGCATGCACGCCATGTCCTGGCCCCTGGGATGGGCAGCCCTTGACCACACATAGGAGCCCAGACTTCAGTGTTCTCCTAATGGCTCTCCCAGAGGGTTCGGACGGTCTGGAATTAGCTGTGCGGAGGGAGCTGGGTATGTGTGCTGCAGGGAGAGGACCAGAAGGAGGCCAGGGAGGCTTCCTGGAGGAGATGCTGGGAGTTGGCCATAAAAGCAGGGGTGGCACACGGGGTGGGGGGCACGGCCTGGGCAAAGGCTCAGGAGCAGGCGCGCCCAGAGACTTCTGGCTCCCTTCCTCATGCTCATCCAGTGATTCATTCTGACAGCTGCTGCTTTGGGGCTGAGTGTTGTCAGGCCCCCCACCGGGCTCTGCAGAGGCCCCTCCCCAACACTGCTCAGCACCCACTTACTCCAGAGGCCCTGGGACAGGTGTGAGCTGCCGCCCGACAGGGGCAGGGAGCACTTCTGGCACATGCACTCCTTCCCATTGAAGGTCACTCGGTCCCCGGGTGGAAACGGCAGCCTGAAACAAGAGCGGGTTACACGCCAGCACTACCTTTTGCTCTTCTCAGGGGGGAAGGGGAGCCCCACCCAGGTCCTCCTGTCACCTCCCCCCTGGAATCTCACGGACAGGCGCCACAGGCCAGGAAGCAAGGCCTCTCCATCTAGGCCCTGCCATGTCCCTGCTGTGTGACTCAGGCTGGTCACTGGCATCTGAGCCTCAGTTTCCTCGTCCGTGTCAGCAGGCAGAGTGACAGTGCCCTGGGGAGGGGCAGTGAGGCACACGGCCCTCCACCAGGCAGTCTTCACCACTGGCCTCCTCCACGCGACCCAGACGCCTCTGACTCTTCCCCAGCCCAGAATGCTTTTTTAAATATCAGTTCAATAATAATAGTAACAGGTACCGTTTATCACGCCCCTGCTATGTGCCAGGTGTCAGGTACATGACAGACACCTTACATGAAGGCCTCATTTCATAACTTTAGGACCTTTGTCCAAGTTGGCATTCGCTTCATTTCTTCTCTATAGGTGGGAATGCTGATGTTCAGAGAGGATGGTTAACTTTTCCAAGGACACACAGCCAGTGCAGGTCAGAACCAGAGTCAAACCAAGACCTGTCTGGCTCCAGAGCTCCACCTGCTTGGGCCTCTAAGAAGGCAACATGGCAAAAGCATGCCCTGTAGACACCAAGGAACTGTACATTAGGTCTGTCTTTATTTAAAAGTTTGGCATTCTGGGGCCGGCAGAGTGGCTCAGTTGGTTAAGAGCTCGCTCAAGAGTTTGAGCTCTGAGCAACAGC